TTTAAATCAGATAGACTATTTATTAAATTTTTTTAAATTATTTATTTTTACCGCAAATATATAAATCAACTTTAAGAAATCTCTTCTTTCTAGAGTTTAATTGCACGAATGTCCTTTTAACATTGTTTAATTCTATTGATAGTTTAAAAGTTTGACGACTTGAAATTCTATTTAAAAGTTATAATAAAGTTACTTCAGTCAAAGCAACTCTATCGGCTAAATATTTTTTTTGGTTGAAATAAAATATCTAGTTTATTTCTGTGCATAATTATATTACTTATACCACGCGTACCATTGATAATAATAGCTTTTTATTTATTCTTCCAAATTTAATAAGAATTTGTTTTATATTGTTTTATATAGTACACAAATTATTAGATATTCTTTAACTATTCGTAATCATGTTTGTGACATTACATGATTTTACCTTCTATTTTTTAGAGGTGAAGNATTGTTTTATATAGTACACAAATTATTAGATATTCTTTAACTATTCGTAATCATGTTTGTGACATTACATGATTTTACCTTCTATTTTTTAGAGGTGAAGGTAAATTAAAATTTTGAGGTTTTTCATTTTCTGGCTCAAAAATTTGTCTTACTGAAATGAGAAATCGACGTATAACTTACATTAACAGGTTAGTTAGCATTAGAGCTGCCCATCAGAGACTGACTGAGTGCGCGCAAGCACAACACGGGTAAAAAAGTATCCATATATATATATACACAGAAAGTCAACGAACGTAAAAAAACAGATATACCGCAGGGAGCTAATAAACAAAAAATATAGGAATACCCTTGGTTCTAACCTTACCCTCTTTCCTATATCTTTATTTGGTGGTACCTAATTTTTTACCAAAAATTATGTATGTATAAAGGAATAACAATTTAAAATAAACAATAAAATTAAATAAGCAGACAATTTCTTTAGATAGCTGGGTAGATAAATTTTCATTAGGTCCTATAACAAAAAAAAGGTTTATTACTATTTAATAACTTTATATATACATCTTGTAGTCTAATTCGTTCAAGATTTGTTAAGTCATCCATTCATGTTATTAGAATAAGATAGACTTTGTAAATATATCAGCTACTTGATTTCTAGAGGCAATCCACCTGATTTCTAGTCTTTTGGGAGCAACACACTCCTTGACATAGTGAGCCTTGAATTCTGATGTGTGTCTCTGTTTGTTTTCTCCTACTGTTTCAGCACTGACCTTGGCTGATTTGTTCTCACACCAGAAAATCACAAGGTGAAATTTCTGATCTGATACAGGAACCAGAGGGTTTCTTACTGCCATCAGCTCCTGACAAGCTGCACTGGCGACTAAGTACCCATCTTAATAGGTTAATAGGAAGATATAACTCTGCTTATAGGTCTTCCTAGCAACAGAATCTCCGTAAAGTTAAACTATGTATCCTGTTGAAACTAGATATTTTTTTGCAGCCAGCGAAACTCACGTTAGAATAAGACTCTACGTCACTTCCTTTCGCTCTATAAGTTAATCCTTTTCTATTTTTCCCGTGAAAATATTTGAACAGCTTATAAACCGTCTTCCATTACTCAGCCATTGGATTTGACTCATGTCTGCTCAGTTCGTTTACAGCATAATATATGGCCAGTCGGACTATATTGGCTAAGTACAGCTGACTGTCTATAGCTTCTCGATAAAACTTACTGTCGCTAGTTTCATTTATATCTCGTATTCTTTCGCCTTTAGTCTCATCCTTCTCTTCCTTTGCTTATACAACACTGTTCACTTAAGAGTAAATATTGTGAGAGAAGGCTGTCGGGATCAGTGTAGTTAACGCGTTCTAATGTAGGCGTGAGGAGATTGGAGCCTAGAGTAGTGGGAGCACACACACTTGGTCGTTGACTCGGGTAATTAGTACAATACCCGCAGGTGTGGGTGCTACCTCTCCCTCTCTGGCCTCGAGCGCTGAGTATCTTTGCTGGCGAGCTCGCGTGTTCGGCTGAGCTCCTTCTACTAGCACGCGGACCTTTCAAGTATCAAGTCGCTCCCGCGTAGTCGAGCTTAATATTTAAAGTCGCTGCAGCTCTTCTATTGCTAAACTCGCAACCATTGTGTCAGGATCAGGGCAGCCTTCTCATCGTCGCTAACTAGTCGCCTAAGGTATAGCGCACGTCTT